CTATAGTTAATGTTGTGTGACTTGGCCGTTCAACAATCTTTATTAAGATAATCATAAGTATTATTGAAATACGCAGCTTTATTAAACCTACATAATTGACTGGTTATTATTGAATTAACGTTTTCCAAGTGGCAATTTTCCATCGTTAATGGGTAGCGGTTCTGGCGACAGATTGGTGCAATGGTGTCATGGAGCACCTGGTTTTGTCACCCTTCAACGGCCAAGTCACACAACATTAACTATAGTAATAAAGAAATTGCAGTAAGGAACCATAGACTTGGCACGACTTTGTCTAGATTTCATTACTTTTTAGAGATAAACAAGCAGCTCCATCGAGACTTGGCTAGTTTTTTACAGAATGTTTTTGGTGGGATTTATTTAACAGCAAATATTTTTTAAAATAAAATGGCCATAATATCTGGTTTGGCCCCATTATTTGACAAATGCTGTTAAAAAGCGACGCAAAAAACTCAAGTCGACAATATCTACCGCTTGGTTGCTTTAGTAATAAATCTTAAAATCCGTCTGTCAGTCAACTGTCAAATTTCTATGTTTCTAGTAAAAATATCTACGGTTTTCGATACGGTTTTTATTATTGACGGAATTGCAAACACGGCCACCTTCTCAGCCGGTTTGACGGTGAAGTGCACGCCTTGATGGCGGCCACTGGTTCCTCTGGTATGCAAGAGGATGCACGAGGATGCACGAGGATGTAATTGCAAATGAGTCACCTGAACAAAGCATTAATAAGCGAGCTCTTCCCAGCGCCAGTCCTTCCCACCACGGCCACCTTCTCAGCCGGTTTGACGGTGAAGTGCACGCCTTGATGGCGGCCACTGGTTCCTCTGGTATGCAAGAGGATGCACGAGGATGCACGAGGATGTAATTGCAAATGACTCACCTGAACAAAGCATTAAGGCGAGGATGCACGAGGATGCAGGAGGATGCAGTCATTGGAGGATGCAGAAGGATGTAGAAGGACGTAGAAGGATGTAAGAGGATGCAGGAGGATGCAAAAGGATGCAAGATGGAGTCATAGAGGAGGATGCAAGATGAAGTCAGTGGAGGATGCAGAAGGATGCAGGAGGATGCAAGAGGATGCAGGAGGATGCAAGAGGATACAGTCATATAAAGGATGCAGGATTAAGTCATATAGAAGGATGCAGGAGAATGTAGTCATTTAGGAGGATGCAAAATGATGCAAGAGGATGCACGAGGATGCAAAAGGATGCAAGATGGAGTCATAGATGAGGATGCAAGAGAATGCAGAAGGATGCAGGATCTAGTCATATAAAAGGATGCAGGAGGATGCAAGAGGATGCAAGATGGAGTCATAGATGAGGATGCAAGAGGATGCAAAAGGATGCAGGATCTAGTCATATAGAAGGATGCACGAGGATGCAAGATGGAGTCATAGATGAGGATGCAAGAGGATGCAGAAGGATGCAGGATCTATTCATATAGAAGGATGCACGGGGATGCAAGATGGAGTTATAGAGGAGGATGCAAAAGGATGCAAGATGGAGTCATAGAGGAGGATGCAAGAGGATGCAGGAGGATGCAAAATGGAATCATAGAGGAGGATGCAAGAGGATGCAGGATCTAGTCATATAGAAAGATGCAGGAGGATGCAAGAGGATGCAGAAGGATGCATGATCTAGTCATATAGAAGGATGCAGGAGGATGCACGAGGATGCACGAGGATGTAATTGCAAATGACTCACCTGAACAAAGCATTAATAAGCGAGCTCTTCCCAGCGCCAGTCCTTCCCACCACGGCCACCTTCTCAGCCGGTTTGACGGTGAAGTGCACGCCTTGATGGCGGCCACTGGTTCCTCTGGTATGCAAGAGGATGCACGAGGATGCACGAGGATGTAATTGCAAATGACTCACCTGAACAAAGCATTAATAAGCGAGCTCTTCCCAGCGCCAGTCCTTCCCACCACGGCCACCTTCTCAGCCGGTTTGACGGTGAAGTGCACGCCTTGATGGCGGCCACTGGTTCCTCTGGTATGCAAGAGGATGCACGAGGATGCACGAGGATGTAATTGCAAATGACTCACCTGAACAAAGCATTAAGGCGAGGATGCACGAGGATGCAAGAGGATGCAGGAGGATGCAGGAGGATGCAAGAGGATGCAGTCATATAAAGGATGCAAGAGGATGCAGGATGTATTCATAAAGAAGGATGCAGTCATATAGGAGGATGCAAAAGGATGCAGTCATATAAGAGGATGCAAGAGGATGCAGTCATATAGGAGGATGCAGGAGGATGCAAAATGAAGTCAATGGAGGATACAGGATGTAAACATGAAGGAGGATGCAAGAGGATGCAATGTGTACCCATGTAGGAGGATGCAAGAGGATGCAATGTGTACTCATATAGAAGGATGAAAGAGGATGCAGTCTTAAAGAAGGATGCAATGTGTACTCATGAAGGAGGATGCAAGAGGATGTAGTCTTAAAGAAGGATGCAGGTTGTAGTCATGTAGGAGGATGCAAGAGGATGCAATGTGTACTCATATAGAAGGATGCAAAAGGATGCAGTCTTAAAGAAGGATGCAGGTTGTAGTCATATAGAAGGATGCAAGAGCATGCAAGAGGATGCAGGAGGATGCAGGAGGATGCAAGAGGATGCAGTCATATAAAGGATGCAAGAGGATGCAGGATGTATTCATAAAGAAGGATGCAGTCATATAGGAGGATGCAAAAGGATGCAGTCATATAAGAGGATGCAAGAGGATGCAGTCATATAGGAGGATGCAGGAGGATGCAAAATGAAGTCAATGGAGGATACAGGATGTAAACATGAAGGAGGATGCAAGAGGATGCAATGTGTACCCATGTAGGAGGATGCAAGAGGATGCAATGTGTACTCATATAGAAGGATGAAAGAGGATGCAGTCTTAAAGAAGGATGCAATGTGTACTCATGAAGGAGGATGCAAGAGGATGTAGTCTTAAAGAAGGATGCAGGTTGTAGTCATGTAGGAGGATGCAAGAGGATGCAATGTGTACTCATATAGAAGGATGCAAAAGGATGCAGTCTTAAAGAAGGATGCAGGTTGTAGTCATATAGAAGGATGCAAGAGCATGCAAGAGGATGCAGGAGTATGCAAGAGGATGCACGAGGATGCACGAGGATGTAATTGCAAATGACTCACCTGAACAAAGCATTAATAAGCGAGCTCTTCCCAGCGCCAGTCCTTCCCACCACGGCCACCTTCTCAGCCGGTTTGACGGTGAAGTGCACGCCTTTAATGGCGTATATTGGTTCCTCTTGTATGGGGTCTGAATCCTTGTCTTTGCTTTCCTTCTTTGGCGGTTTCTCGTATTCTAATGATACGTTTTCGAAGACTATTTCACCTGTAAATTAGTTGTTTCATTATATTACTAGCTTTTCGCCCGCGTGGAATTTTGTCTGTGACAGAAAAACTTTATCGCACAAGTCCCTGTTCCAAAAACCGGGATAAAACTATCCTATGTCCTTTGTCGGGACTCAAACTATCTCTATGACAAATTTCATCAAAATCGGTTCAGTGGTTTAGGCGTGAAAGATATACAGACAGACAGACAGACACGAGTTACTTTCTTATTTATAATATTAGTATAGATACAAACAGTTTTGTCTAATTTATAGGTTTAGCGCTTAATTTAGTCAGTTTCTGAGGCGTGGAAGCAGCACGGGAGGGCATTGACATACATCTTGACGTGACAGAAACTTCTCGCTGACATTTGACGGCAACAAAAACACCCTCACATACCGCTCCCATACCTTAGGCACGGACTGAGTTATGCGCTAGACCAATGATGTTTGGCTGATAAACACATTACCCCAACTCGCACAGTCGGGTAAAAATAAGTATTAGTGTAGAAAATGACTGAACGAGTGCCTGAGGTAGGAGGTTCGTGACAGAGCATACAAGTCTGAAGCACATCTGAAGTCTCGCTGACTTTTGACGTCACAAAAACACCCTCCCGTGCCGCTCCCATACCTCAGGCATTGACTCAGTTATGTGCTAAAGCCCGGTCTCTAAGCACGTAGAATTTTGTCCAATGACCCCAAGCTACCCATCCTTATCGCTCGCGCGTAATTATGTTGCTGTCGCGCTCGCACACTCACTGCGGGCGCCCGTCGCACAGTCGCGACAGCAACCTAATTACGCGCGAGCGATAAGGATGGGTAGCTCGGGGTCATTGGACAAAATTCTACGTGCTCGGCTACCAGACTATAGACCTATACCTACTAACCTTTGGACGGCCATTTTGAGAGATCCAAATCCGGGTGATTCATCTTCAGAGCCTTTTCATTTGGCTCCACTGGAGTTTCTGGGGGTAGGTTCTTGTATTCTAAAATTCTTTCAACCTGTAATAAAAACAATAAACTATAAGCGAAAGGTCACTGACTGACTCACTCATTATATCTCAGAAACTACAAGTGCTAGGAGTCTCAAATTATGCATGGGGGTTCCTTTTAGAACGTAGGTGCTCACTAAGACGGGATTTTGCAAAATTCAATCCCTAAGGGGTAAAACGGGGTCCACGCGTATGAAGATAATGATAACTTACAGAAGTCATCTGGTTTTTCACCTCAGCCGTCTGACATATCCCACCAGGCCCATCACTTGAGTGATGGCCAGCCCTAAGGTGATGAAGATGATGATGATGAACTTACAGAAGTCATCTGGTTATCTACAGCAGCCGTCTACCAGGCTCATCACCTGGTTACCAGCCCTACGTTGATGATGATGATGATGATCAACTTACAGAAGTCATCTGGTTCTCCACCTCAGCCGTCTACCAAATCTCACCAGGCCTATCACTTAAGTGATGGGTAGCCCTACGGTGATGATGATGATGATGATCAACTTACAGAAGTCATCTGGTTCTCCACCTCAGCCGTCTGACAAATCTCACCAGACCTATCACTTAAGTGATGGGTAGCCCTACGGTGATGATGATGATGATCAACTTACAGAAGTCATCTGGTTTTCCACCTCAGCCGTCTGCCGGATGATATCACTTGAGTGATGGCCAGCCCTACGTTAATGGTGATGATGATGATGATCAACTTACAGAAGTCATCTGGTTTTTCACCTCAGCCGTCTGACATATCCCACCAGGCCTAACACTTGAGTGATGACGCCTTAAGGTGATGATGATGATGATGATGATGATGATGATAACTTACAGAAGTCATCTGGTTTTCAACCTCAGCCATCTGCCGGATGATATCACTCGAGTGATGGCCAGCCCTACGTTAATGGTGATGATGATGATGATGATAACTTACAGAAGTCATCTGGTTCTTCACCTCAGCCGTCTGCCAGGCTCATCACCTGGTTATCAGCCCTACGGTGATGAAGATGATGATGATGATCAACTTACAGAAGTCATCTGGTTCTCCACCTCAGCCGTCTGCCAGGCTCATCACCTGGTTATCAGTCCTACGGTGAAGGGGATGATGATGATCAACTTACAGAAGTCATCTGATTCTCCACCTCAGCTGTCTGCCGGATGATATCACTCGAGTGATGGCCAGCCCTACGTTAATGGTGATGATGATGATGATGATCAACTTACAGAAGTCATCTGGTTCTTCACCTCAGCCGTCTGCCAGGCTCATCACCTGGTTATCAGCCCTACGTTGATGATGATGATGATGATCAACTTACAGAAGTCATCTGGTTCTCCAGCACAGCTGTCTGACATATCTCACCAGGCCTATCACTCGAGTGATGGCGCTCTAAGGTGATGATGATGATGATGATGATGATGATGATGATCAACTTACAGAAGTCATCTGGTTCTCCACCTCAGCCATCTGTCATATTTCACCAGGCCTATCACTTGAGTGATGGGTAGCCCTACAGTGATGATGATTATGATGATGATGATGATGATCAACTTACAGAAGTCATCTGGTTCTCGACCTCAGCTGTCTGCCGGATGATATCACTCGAGTGATGGCCAGCCCTACGTTAATGGTGATGATGATGATGATGATCAACTCACAGAAGTCATCTGGTTCTCCACCTCAGCCGTCTGTCGGATGCCATACTGACACATGCCAACCAGGCCTATCACTTGGGTGATGGCTAAGCCGACGTTGCCTCCAGTCGTGTCTGAAGAAAGAAAGAGAGAAAAACTCTATTTAGTACGAAAACATACAAAAAATACAATAAACACAGCACAAGCTACTGAATACTGAAAAAAGGCGCTTGAAAAAGAAAGAAAGACATTTTTTATGTCATCATCATCATCATCTCAGCCACAGGACGTCCACTGCTGAACATAGGCCTCCCCCAATGCTTTTCATGTTGGCCGGTTGGTAGCGGCCTGCGTCCAGCGCCTTCCTGCTACCTTTACGATGTCGTCGGTCCACCTTGGATTTCCGGTACGTGGCCTCCACTCCAGAACCTTGCTGCCCCATCGGCCGTCAGTTCTGCGTACTATGTGCTCTGCCCATTGCCACTTCAGCTTGCGTAGGATTTATTTTTATCTTACCTGGTGGTAAGTGATGATCAGGAATGAATAATGGATGGAATAATTATTTCAGAGCATGTCCACATAAATTGGGACGTGGACAGCGTAGGACTTCATAAAGTTAAAGGCTCGACGGCCTCATAAAGGTAGCAGGAAGGCGCTGGATGCAGGCCGCACCAACCGGGCGATGTGGTAATCATTGGGGGAGGCCTATGTTCAGCAGTGGACGTCCTGTGGCTGAAATGATGATGAAGATTAGGAAACTAAACAGTAGTAGATACTTACCTCGCGAGACCAGTAGGAAGAAGCTAAACGTGACCGCAGCCAGGAACAGACAGCAAAGCATGTCCATCCACCAGCCGAATGCCCTGGCCGTACTCAGTACTAGTGCCCAGGATGACGAATGTAGATCCTGGACGAAATAAATAAATATAAATATCCTCAATCCTATCAATATGTGGACCGACGACCTCATAAAGGAGGCAGGAAGGCGCTGGATGCAGGCCGCTACCAACCAGGCGATGTGGAAATCATTGGGAGAGGCCTGTGTTCAGCAGTGGACGTCCTAACTCCTATGGCTGAAATAATGATGATGATGATAAATGTCCTTGGACATTTTACACTGCGCCATATAGCCTCAAACTTATGCTCGGTCTTTCTCTGATCGAATCAGAAATGAGGAGATCCGCTGGAAAACGTGGAAATCCTTGGGCGAGACCTTTGTCCAGCAGTGGACGTCACTGGCCGTGCTCAACACTAATGCCCAGGATGACGAGTGTAGATCCTGGACAATAGGGAATATGCTTCGGTTTAAAAATTTAATAAACACTTTAGTTAAATCATAAAAGTTCTGTAAAATAAGTGTTGAAATCGGACTGGATACTAAGAAGATACAAACGTTGAGACTTTGTATAGAAATAGTATGACGTCACATTACACACGCCCATACTAACTAGTATGGGACGCTGCTTGTCGTTACTGTGGACAGTGACGTCACGAGATTACAAATATCACATCGTAAATTGTTTCTAAGAAAACCTTTGCTGTTACTAATTACCACTATTTCTCGTATTTAACACATTCACAGTCCAACACAACATAAGTTATCCTGGACTGCTAAAGTGACCAACCCAAAAAGATTTCCTAAGGAAGAATTTTTAAATTAAAGTAAACTTAATGACTTCTTATTATATCAGCTATCTGCCAGTGAAAGTCCCATAAAATCCAGTAGTCCCATAAAATCCCTCTGTAAATGGAGTCGGAAAAAATGTGCCCTGCCCACTGCCAATCAAGTTTGACAACCTTTGTTTGCCACCTGTCATCCGCTTTGCAATGGAGGGAAGTCGAACCTTAATTTCGAACTCCTATATTCTTCTGATTAATTTCGTTGCGGGTCCAATGACAGTTTAACTTTCCCCCGGGACACACTTGACCTTCACTGGTTGGGTTATTGGCGGTCAAGCTGTAGATCCTGGCTACACAGGAGTTGCAGTGGTGGGAACGAGAGGTGGTAATAGTCCCGTTTTTTGCCAATCAAGTTTGACAGTCGATTACTTTGGTATCAAGCCAAGAAATGAGAAGATTCGTAGATCTTCTCAGTTCTTTACAGTGTTTGGAAAATAAATATTGAAGTGTAAACATACCTGCAGTTTGTCAAATTCTCTCGCCAGAGTGCGTTGTTGCTCCCGCGTCGACCGGATCGTTGTTAAGCCGTTGACAGTGGCGGCTGCGTGGTTAAGCGACTGGCTGCGAGCTGTGAAAGGGTTAATTCAATATTAAAAGCTTAGTAAGGCGTACGTGGCAAAAAACAGATATTTTTACTTTGACATTGAATATCTGTGACACGAGATTTTATGAAACTTCTGAGACATGTTTTAAAAGGTTTATAGCTTACTTATCTCTCAATCCGATGTGAAATCGTTTATTTGATTGCACTAAAATGCTATGGCTTGCTATGACATTTAGTACTAAGCACAAAAATAAAAAATGAACTACTAAAAAAGTAAGAAAGAGAAAAAAGCATGTTGTTTGTTATTCTGTTATTCGAAATGGCGGTCAAAACTTAGAAGCACATTGACAAACAACTAAGGTTCATAATACATATATTTTTATTTGTCAATCAAACAAGTAACATACGAAGTTACGGTTCGTTGCCGTTCCACGTGACGTCACAAAGTGCTACACTTTTAACCACGCCTTGAGGTCACGGGCCTCTTCTTTATAACTCTTTCGATTTTCATTAGTTTGAAAAAGTGAAAATACGTGTCGAGTATTTTTTGACAAGTTAAATGACAGACTAATTCACACTCTTGCTTTTTACCTAGGCAACATCCCTTTTATGATGGCTTTATACTGGAAAGAGCCCTTTCTATGATTCATCACCATCTCTCATCTCATCTCAGCCATAGGACGTCCACTGCTGAACATAGACCTCCCCCAATGCTTTCCATGCTGCCCGGTTGGTAGCGGCCTGCGTCCAGCGCCTTCCTGCTACCTTTATGATGTCGTCGGTCCACCTTGTAGGTGGACGTCCCACGCTGCGTTTTCCGGTACGCGGCCTCCACTCCAGAACCTTGCTGCCCCATCGGCCGTCAGTTCTGCGTACTATGTGCCCTGCCCATAGCCACTTCACACACTTTTTTTCTATGATTAAACCTTCTAAATATGAACATAACTTACCAATAGCCTCTATTCTCTTCAGTTCCCGACTAGTACTCAAGAACAGACTCCTCAGTACTACCAGCATGATCAGCAGAACTGCTGTAGGGGCCAGTAGCCACCAGTTCACCAGGCACACCACCACTAGTATGGATACCACTTCGAAGAGGAACTGTGAGAGATAATGAGTTTTATATACACTCAAAATCAAATAAACCGCAACAATATTGGTGTTATTTGAAAGCCCAATAAATATCCTTAAAGAAAAACACATTAAATTTCTTATTAAATGATTAACATATACCATAAATTGTGACTTGAAAAAAGACCTCACTTTGGGCTCACCTCTGGGATCAATTAGACCAAATTAATCCCAACTTAACAGTTTTATAGCCATAAAAGTTGGCTCAAGCGTAACTACTTTACTTTTTGAAGAAGTGACTCTGGATCCTTCTAAAGACATTTTTGGTGTAAAAACCTTTCCTTTAATGAAATGAAGTTTAGAACTAGGCTTTCAAATGGTACCAACGTTGGTGGGAAGTGGGGATGCATACGTTTGATAAGTGCTTGTCGCGGGAGGTGCGATTTATTAGATGTCGAGTGTAGTTTGAGATAAGGTTACATTTAGGTTGGCATTGTTAAGTAGACAGTGGTAGCATACCACCACCAGTATGGATACCACTTCGAAGAGGAACTGTGGGAGAATGGGTTTTATGTAGTTTGAGATAAGGTTACATTTAGGTTGGCATTGTTAAAGACACTCTACTAACAGTATGGATACCAGAGGAACTGTGGGAGAATGGTTCTAAAGCAGTTTGGAATAAGGTTCAGTTTAGAATAGCCTCCCGTGCCGCTCCCATACCTCAGCCACTGACTGAGTTGAGCGCTAAACCTATACCAGTATGGAGACCACTATAAATAGGAACTGTTGGAAAAAGTGTATGCCACATCCTCCATTTGATTCTAAATGACTGATGATGATGAACAGATGACTTCATGACCAGTAGCCTTATTCACGTAACAAAACTTCAATGACAACAAATCGCTGAGTTGCGATCCTATCGAGTAATCGTTCTGTCGCAAATGACCCTTGTGAATACGGATTTAGAACTGTTTTACAATGGGGCGACTTCTTAACGTCAGCGAGATCTTGACTGTCAAAATACGTGAATTAGGCCACTGATGGTGATGAATCATATAGGCAAGCATATAACAATGATGATGATGATGACATCAACTCACCCCAAGAGTGTCGACCAAAGCGACAGGCAGCAAGGTGTCCACTTGCCCCATATCTTTGGAGAATCTGTTGAGGATACGCCCAGAAGGATTGTGGTGGAAGAACCACATTGGAGCGCTGGTCACGCCTCTGTGGGAGAAAGGGACGGTTGTAGAAAGAGAGAGAGGACATATTTATTAAGCACCTTAGGCACAATAAGTTTGTTAGATTCCGGTCGTCGAGCACGTAGAATTTCGTCCAATTACCCCAAGCCTTCTCGCTCGCGCGTAATTATATTTCTGTCGCGCTCGCACACTCACTGCGGCCGCTCGTCGCACAGTCACGACAGCAATATAATTACGCGCGAGCGATAAAGATGGGTAGCTTGGGGTCATTGGACGAAATTCTACGTGCTCGGCGACCGGACTTTAGATCCTATGAAAAAAGGCGATCGGAATATTTTATACAAGAAAATAAAAATATCGGAAAATGCATCTCTCATCTCATCAAGTCTCTGGCACCACCAATTAACTGACGTACTTTTTATGAACTGCAAAAACTAGACACTCCCATAGACTTTGTAGGGCAATACAAGCTGATGACGTCACTATTTTGCACACTCAATAGACCAACTTTTTTTAAAATCATATTTGGGTCATTCCATAAAAATCTGTATATTTTCGACGTCATTTTGTCCGTAACTTTTTTAAGATGCTTTTGAATACTTTATTAGTGTAAATTATTGTTTATTAATTAACTATTTTATGTCTAAAAGGGCCAGTCACTTTATGCTTTATTTTAGGAGAAATTATAATTTTCAATTTTTTCATACTACATTACTCCTATATGACTTCTCATAAAGTATAAAACTTTTAACCTTAACATTTATAGATAAGTTAATACACATAATGTAGTTGTTTTGTTATTATCACTATACAGGGTGTTGATTTCAATCCTCGCCATATTTATTTAGGTGATCTATTATGACTTATATAAACGCATTATCCACCAAAAAAAAAATTACAAACTAAAGTAGAATTTTTAGCGAATATTTTCCGTGCGACATCAACTGTACTGTGGCTCTTAATACTGCAATACGCTTCAACTGCGGCACCCATCGAGCTACGCGGATCGCTCGCTTATCATGTCTGATAGTCTACTGAAGGAAGCCACGTAAAATAGGTAGTGTAAATAGGTATTTTTGTTTGACTAACTAAAGTTAAAGTTCGTTTTAAATTAGTTTGCTGTTTCCTATGTGTGTGTGTGTGTGTAAATACTATTAAATTATATACAATTTCTTATTATAATCAATAAAGCTACTCAACTAGGGACTGACGAAGTGACTGGATTAACACATGTTTCGGTAACAACTGGCACGTTTGCACTAATTCAAAAAACGGCTACCGCAAAGCCAGTATGGTCTGAGGATAACTTCGTATCGTACTTTAAACTCAACTAAATGTCATTCACTCAAATTACATATTAAAGCGCAAAATTATAAAATCAGTGCGTGGCGAGGGAATGACACTAAAAACTGTAGACTCTTTTTCAACTAAAGAAAATCAAACTATTGTTTATTGAAACCGCAAAATATTAATAGAATTTGGTGTAATATACATTTAAATAGATTATTCGTTAATTAAAACAAAGGATAAAGTTGATGTTTTTATAATTGTGGGTCCCAAAACACAAACTTTAGGAGTACGGACATGCCTAGGGAATGACGTTTTGGGTCATTCAAAAGGAATTTAAGATGTTTTAAAATCAGTTTCAAAAAATATAAATGGGTGATGAATAAAGCACATTGCGAGCTGTTATTTAACAATTTTGGAATAAAATATTAACAAATATTTCATGTGAAATGTGGCGCGGACTAAGAGTTGACATATTTTTGTGGAATGACCCATTTACAGTTGATTTAAATTAAATGAGTTTTTAAGACCACTTTGAAGTCCAATCAAACAGAGAATTTCAAACTGTTGGAGTTTTGAATACGAAAAAAATACAATCGAATTAAGAACCTCATTTTTTGAAGTCGGTTAAAAACTCACAAAACTCACCTGAACATCGTATCGTGAAGTGTAATAGACGCTTTAATACATGTGTTGTAGAAGACCACTAGTTTATTCCACGTGAAGAATATACATATGAGAATCAGGCTGGCGTATACGTATACACACTGCTCACGGGTTAGGTGGAAGTGATTGAGTGATAAGTCCACATATGACACTGTAAAGGAAGAAAATATTTAGTTAGGCGGCAACAGCTAAAGCATTGGTTCCCAAACTTATTTGAGACGCGCCCCCTTTCGACCATACAAAAAATTCCGCGCGCCCCCTCCTCCAGTCAAGATTATTTATTGGTCGTATCGAGCAGTCTGGAATCGCAGGTTTTTTTATACTTAAGTTTTTTTATACCCGGGGCTCGCGCCCCCCTTTAAAGGTCTTTGCGCCTCCTCTGGGGGGCGCGCCCCCCACTTTGGGAACAAATGAGCTAAAGGAAAACTATAGTTCAAGCGCTATAACTCAGTCAGTGCTTGAGGAATGAGAGCGGCACAGGAGTGGTGAAATTGACATACACTCAATATCAAATAAACCGCACCTTCCGCGACGCGAACTTTAAAGATTTTCTTCTGACACAATCATGGTACCCCAACAATATTGGTGTTATTTGAAAGCCCAATAAATATCCTTAAAGAAAAATACATTTCATTTCTAAATAAATGATTAACATTTACCATAAATGTGACTTGAAAATATACCTCACTTTGGGCTCACCTCTGGGATCAATTAGACCAATTTTTATGGTTATAAAACCAAATAAAGATCTCACGTGTCCTCTTTAACAGATGGATAGCGATTAATCCCAACTTAACAGTTTTATAGTCATAAAAAATGGCTATAGCGTAACTACCTATTTTTTGAAGAAGTGACTCTGGATCCTTGTAAAGACACATTTGTGGGGTAAAAACCTTTCCTTTAATGAAATGAAGTATAGAACTAGGCTTTCAAATGATACCAATGTTGGTGGGAAGTGGGGATGCATACGTTTGATAAGTGCTTGTCGCGGGAGGTGCGATTTATTTGATGCCGATTCGAGTGTATTATGACGTGACAGAGCATACAAATATGAAGACTTGGTGACGTTTAACGTTTGATTGGATATCTCAGATACTGACTCAGGTAAGCGCTAACCTTATAATACAAGTTTCTTACCCGGAGGTGCCCCATCAATTGTGGAGTTCTGTTTCTTGATTTCAGCTGTGTTAGATTCTTCTAGATTTACCCTGAAAGCATATGAAATTAAGATAAAATAAATAAATATCCTCGGACATTTTAGACCGACCGAAGACAGATTATGCCATGCAGAATAGTTCCTCTGTGGTTAACAATTCCTTCAGCGGTGATCACTTTTAATTTGTTGGAGCGAAATCGATCCTAAACTTCGAACTTCTCCCATTTTCTTCTGATTTGACGTTCGTTCGTTCGTTTCAGCCGAAAGACGTCCACTGCTGGACTTGACGTAATTTTATTAAATTACAATGTCAAGTTTTATTAATGGTTTCTTGCCACTAACGTGTTAATGGCTTTTTGTAGAGTTTAAGCTAGTTTTGTAAAATATATAGTTTTGTTGCAGGTGCAATGACAGCTTAACTTTCCCCCGGGACAAACTTGACCCACACTGGTTGGGTTATTGGCGGTCAAGCTGTAGATCCTGGCTACACAGGAGTTGCAGCGGTGTTAACGTAAAGTGGGAATTTTCCAGGGTAGAATGTGATATTGCAAGAGATTGAGCCGCGCACGAATGTCCAATTTTAGGACAATAACTCGCGGTTCCTTTTCAATGGCCTCGGATGACACCGTCGGGTTTTAGTGGGTAGGCCCCGTCCTCCTGGTGGGGGGAGTCCCACATAACCCACATAATGTCCCAATTGTCCAGTGGGTATGCATAAATCATTTCCCGACGAAAAAAAGGCCAAGACCTTTCTTGCTGTAGTCAAAAACAAAAACTCACCATTCCTTTAGCCATATGTCTGTGGCGGAGTAGAAGACTTGGGCCAATATGAAGAGTATGAGCAGAGACGCCATGGAGCCCACAGAACCGCCGCTCTTTATGTACGCCATGTATACGCTCTTGCTTACTGAGCCTTTGTTTTGGTTTTCACCTGGAAAGCATAATAAATACCCATTTATTCTGATTTTGATATTAGTTTCAGCCATAGAGATATAGATAGAGAGATGCCAACTAATGCGCTGAGTTCGAAACTCAGTGTCGCATTAGAAATTGACACACACAAAGTAATCAAAATATGTGCTCGTTATACACTGCGGTATCAGTACTCAACGTTCGAATAATCTTTAGTACTACGCAAGCAATGCAAACTGTTTACATTATGACGTCAGCAGCAATGTGTTCTGTTTTTGGGCATATTGCTGCGACACCGGCCCCGCCCCCTTGTCACATCTCCCTTTAGTTTATGTGATCTAAATAAAATAAAAATTCTTTATTTCAGACAATTTTTAAAAGTCCATATTAAACGGGTTCGAAAATAAACATACACACAAACAATTATAAATTCAAAAACTTGTACCCTGTGCAGAGACGGACCATCATGGGGGTGGATAAGGTCCCGTGATCAGTCTCTGCACAAGACACTTCCATAGCGGCGATGTGTATCTGTCCGCTAGGGTCCTCAGAATGCTGTTGTGACTGGCTCGCACCCTGGTAATAAGGGATACAGATTTCTTACGTATTATGGCGCTAAACCCGTCTGTATGATAATCCGCAAACGTATAAACTGTATGATCTGTGCTAGTAACCAATATTTACCTTCATATTTGGGGCTCAAGTTGTTGTCCAAGTCCAGGTTGAAGGAAAGCTGTGAAGCTTCTGACATAGATCTTTGCGAGCGGATCTTGTAGTTGTGTTCCTATGAAAATAAATGTTTGTTATTTTAGTTTGAACATGTAAAATATGCAAGATAGTATAGCTATATCGTTTTATCGATAAATCGAGTATACCCCACCTCCTCGTAAATTTTTAATCGATTAAAATTAAATACCACTATCGATTATATCGTTATACTTTGCTTTTACATCTACTGACTGTTCTACTGTATACTTTGTATCAATCTACGCAGTGTATATTTATTTTTTGAATAAGTCTTGTATGAAATTATGTATTTTTATGCTAAATCTTCTCTAAATCATTAACATTAGCTCTTAACTACTAACCATGTGTACTTAAGTATCTACCAACAAAATCGATTGTCAACTGTAGTATATACCTAATAAATAAATAAACAAACTACCAAATAATAATGTATTATTTCAACTAACGCTTCGTATATTTTCATTTTTTATTTGATCCTGTTTCACGATCACGTTGTATACCTTTGAAAATAAATATATTATTATTTATTCTGGATTCACTCCTTTGAAAATAAAGTCATTATTTTCTTCTACAGCTTACAATAAAAACTTATCAAATGACAATGACACAAGATTCCGATATAAAACCGAGAAATAAAAAGTTTGAAAAGCGAGAGTGAATTGGCATTTACAGGGCAGATAATGTACCAGCCTAGACTGCATCTCACTTAACACCAGGTGCGATTGCGGTCAAATACCTGCCTTATCATAAAAAAATAAACATTAAACTCACCACGCTCTCCTGGTTCTCGTAGTTAACAGCGTTCTTCTTCTGTTTTTCTTCTTCAATCTTCTCGGACACTTCTAGAAGTTTCTCGAATTCTGGCACTCCGTTTTGGAGCTCGTGGTAAGTGCCTTGCGCTACGATCTGTAAAGAAATACAATAATATAGATCGTTTCATCCACGAAGACGCGCCCCACCATTCTTCCGCTAATGTTTGAGTGTTATCGGTACACGCTAAATGCTCCATGAGTGCACACGCACACTACAATAATGACGCTCGGATTGCTCGGATCAAACTCCCCGCACCCCGCGCGACCGAAACCATACATTGGTTGGGCGCGTCTTCGTGGATAAAACGATCTATAAATTATATTTACTAACCCCCTTACTAATAAAAAGTTACACAGTTGTTGATCACTGTTTTAAAATGACATTCCATACTAAACGTCTCTTTAAAACACTGATCAACGAGCGTGTAAGTTTTATTAGTAAGGGGGTAATTATAAAGAGGAAAGATTTGTTTTTTTGTATTGAATAGGCTCCGAAACTACTGGACCGATTTGAAAAATTCTTTCATCATTTGAATCCTACATTACAGCTAATGAACATAGTTGGTACGAAGTTCGCCGGGTCAGTGCAACTAGAGACCCATGTGGTTCCAAAAAATTGAAAAGGACCACTCCCACTCTTTCCGAGGATATCGTAAGGTGAATAAATGACAAAGGGACAAATAAGCGAGCATCAGGCCTCCCCAGCCCGTCTGGCCAGCGTGGGGAGTGTAGGACAAATCCTCTTGCCTCTGGTCAATTAGAGGCGTGCTCCTGCAGTGGAGACTAAATGACCTGATGATGATGATATGATGATGATGATTACCGCCCATAGGAGAGTCATGATCTGCAGTGGCGACTCAATGACCTGTTTTTTTATCTACAACGAGGAAGCTCTTGGCTTGTATCTCACCTGATGGTAAGTGACGATCAGGCCGAAGGTGGAAGCGAGCTTCACCCGGAATCCTCAACCACGGAGGAACTGGCTATCTTACCTCTAACCGCCGGAACACAATAATGCTGTTAACATACCGTTAACCTGATGATGATGATGATGATGATATTATGATGATGATGATGATATGGTGATGAAGATGATGATTACCGTCCATAGGTGCCATGCTCTGCTGTGGAGACTAAATGACCAGATGATGATGATGATGATATGATGATTATGATGATATGATGGTGATGATGATGATCACCGTCCATAGGAAAGAGTCATGCTCTGCAGTGGAGACTCAATGACCTGATGATGATATGTTGATGATGATGATAATTACCGTTTATAGGAGAGTCATACTTTGCAGTATAGATAAAATGACCTGATGATGATATGGTGATGATGATGATAATAATGACGATGAAGGATACCTTCTCATTCTTCAAAAAAAGTGCTATAGGAAGGTGATGTTCCTGCAGGATTAGTCCCAGGTGATTATTGACCTGATGATGATGATGATTACCTTCCACATCCTCAGTATAAGATGCTGTAGGAGAGGGTCGTGCTCTGAAGTTGAGACTTAATGACCTGATGATGATGATGACGATGATGGTGATATGGGGATGATGATGATGATATGGTGATGATGATGATGATTATCGCCTATATGAAACAGTCATGCTCTGCAGTGGCGACTCAATGACATGATGATGATGATGATGATGATAGCTTTCCCATCTTCACTATAAGATACTATAGGTGATGATGGTGCACCTGCATTGGCGACTAAAAATGACTTGATGATGATGATGATATGATGATGATATGGTGATGATGATGATGATTACCGTCTATATGAAAGAGTCATGCTTTACAGTAGAGATTAAATGACCGGATGATGATGATATGGTGATGATGATGATTACTTTCCCATTCCTCATTATAAGATGTCATAGGAAAGGGTCGAGCTCCTGCATATTAAATGACCTGATGATGATGATGACGATGATGATGATTACCTTCCACATCCTCACTATAAGATATATAAGAAAGGGTGGAGCTTCTGCATATTAAATGACCTGATGATGATGATGATGATGATGATGATTACTTTCCCATTCCTTAGGTACTATAAGAAACTATAGAAGAGAGTCGTCCTCTGCAGTGCAGACTAAATGACCGGATGATGATGATGATGATGATGATGATGATGATTACCTTCCCATTCCTCATGGCGGCGACGGTGGCCGCGTGTCTGGCGTAATGCACGTGGTGCGTCACCAGGACAGTGGCTTTGTCCCGGAGGAAGCCACGGATGCAGTCCTCGTAGGTCGCTTGTGATGATGATGATGATGATGATGATGATTGCTCACTATAAGATGCTGTAGGAGAGGGTTTAGCTTTGCAGTGGAGACTAAATGACCGGATGATGATGATATGGTGATGATGATGATAACCTTCCCATTCCTCACTTTAAGATGTTATAGGTGATGATGGTGGGGACTAGAAATCACTTGATGATGATGATGATAGTGATATGGTGATGATGTTGGTGATAGGGTGATGATGATGGTGATATGGTGATGATGATGGTGATAGGGTGATGATGATGGTGATAGGGTGGTGATGATTGTGATGGGGTGATGATGATGATGGTGATAGGGTGATGATGATGATGATGATTACCGTCCATAGAAGTCATCCTCTGCAGTGTAGACTAAATGACCTGATGATGATGATGATGATGATTACCTTCTCATTTCTCACTATAAGATGCTATAGGACAAGGTCATGCTCTGAAGTGGAGACTAACAGACAGACTACATTGTGATGATGATGATGATGATTACCTTCCACATTCTCACTATAAGATGCTATAGGAAAAGGGGGAGCTCCTGCATATTACTTAAATGACCTGATGATGATGATGATGATATAATGATGATGATTACCTTCCCATTCCTCACTATAAGATGCTATAGAAGAGGGTTTTGCTCTGCAGTGGAGACTAAATGACCAGATGATGATGATATGGTGATGATGATGATTACCTTCCACATCCTCACTATAAGATGCTATAGGAAAGGGTCGAGCTCCTGCATATTACTTAAATGACCTGATGATGATGATGATGATATAATGATAATGATGATTACTTTCCCATTCCTTAGGTACTATAAGAAACTATAGAAGAGGGTCGTCCTCTGCAGTAAAGACTAAATGACCTGATGATGATGATGATGATGATTACCTTCCCATTTCTCACTATAAGATGCTATAGGTGATCATGGTGCTCCTGCAGTGGGGTCAAAAAATGACTTGATGATGATGATGATATGATGATTATGATGATATGATGGTGATGATGATGTTCACCGTCCATAGGAAAGAGTCATGCTCTGCTGTGGAGACTCAATGACCCAATGATAATGATGATGATAATTACCTTCCCATTCCTCACTATCTATAAGATGCTATAAGTGATGATGATGCACCTGCAGTGGGGACTAAAATGACTTGATGATGATGATGATAATGACGACGATGATGATGATTATTACCTTCCCACTCCTCATTATAAGATGCTATAGGAGAGGGTTTTGCTCTGCAGTGGAGACTAAATGACCTGATGATGATGATGATGATTACCTTCCACATCCTCACTATAAGATGCTATAGGAACGGGTGGAGCTCCTGCATATTAAATGACCTGATGATGATGATGATGATAATATAATGATGATGATGGTTACCTTCCCTTTCCTCACTATAAGATGCTATAAGTGATGATGGTGCACCTGCAGTGGGGACTAAAAATGACTTGATGATGATGATGATATGGTTATGATGATGATGATAGTCATATAGTGATGAGGATGATGATTACCGTCCATAGGGATCATGCTCTGCTGTGGAGACTTAATGACTTGATGATGATGATGATGATGATTACCTTCCACATCCTCACTATAAGATGCTATAGGAAAGGGTCGAGCTCCTGCATATTACTTAAATGACCTGATGATGATGATGATGATGATAAAATGATGATGATGATGATTACCTTCCCTTTCCTCACTATAAGATGCCAAAAGTGAGGATGGTGCTTCTGCAATGTAGACTAAATACTTGATGATGATGATGATATGGTGATGATGATGGTGATATAGTGATGAGGATGATGATTACCGCCCATAGGGGTCATGCTCTGCTGCGGAGACTAAATGACCAGATAATGATGATGATGATGATGTTTACCTTCCCATTCCTCATGGCGGCGACGGTGGCCGCGTGCCTGGCGTAATGCACGTGGTGCGTCACCAGGACAGTGGCTTTGTGCCGGAGGAAGCCACGGATGCAGTCCTCGTAGATCGCTTGTGCTACCTGGAGGACAAATGAAGACATTTATTGAATTTTTGAGCGTTAAGAGTCGCATCTGAAACTTAAATTACCTATAGTCCGGTCCCTGAGCACGTAGAATTTTGTCCAATGACCCCAAGCTACCCATCCTTATCGCTCGCGCGTAATTATATTGCTGTTGCGATTGTGCGACGGGCACCCGCAGTGAGTGTGCGAGGTAGCTTGGGGTTATTGGACAAAATTCTACGTGCTCCGCGACCAGACTTTACATACTTGAAACTTTCCAATCAAACAAAAGGTCGTGGTGGACCCACAAGGTAGACTGACGACCTCATAAAGGAAAGCAGGAAGGCGCTGGATGCAGACCGCTACCAACCGGCCATTGTGGAAATCATTGGGGGAGGCCTATGTTCAGCAGAAGACGTGTTATGGCTGATATGATGATTATGATGAAAAGGTCGGTTCGATTCTTGTTTTAGGCAATTTTTTTTCAAGTTATTGAAAAAATAAAGACATTGCTTCAGCTAAATGCTGGCTACTGATGGACAAAGACATCCACGTTTTTCTCGCGATAAAGAAACAAGACATACAGTCAGCGTCAAATAGTTCGTGACACCCAAAGTGGGCAAAAAGTTGACAACACAACCTTATTCCAACTGGCACAAAGATCTGATTTTCTAGGTATTTGATAACATGAATGAAGTAGGTAAAGCCCGGTCTCCGAGCACGTAGAATTTCGTCCAATGACCCCAAGCTACCCATCCTCATCGCTTGCGCGTAATTATGTTGCTGTCGCGCTCGCACACTCACTGCGGGCGCCCGTCGCACAGTCGCGACAGCAATATAATTACGCGCGAGCGATAAGGATGGGTAGCTTGGGGTCATTAGACGAAATTCTACGTGCTCGCAGACCAGATTATAGTTGATAGCATAAACCAATAATTTTAAACACAACTTTTTTAATAGTTAATATTGTATTCTAGAAGTACATACCTTCGCATCGACTGCAGCTAACGGATCGTCCAGCAAATAAACGTCCGCGTGTTGGTACACACACCTCGCGAGCGATATCCTTGCCCTTTGGCCGCCAGACAGCGATGCGCCTGTCAAATAATTCGAAGCGAAAGGTCACTGACTGACTGACTCACTCACTCATCACGAAATCTCAGAAACTAAAGTACGGCCAACGAGAAGCGATACCAAATGTAAACAAACCTAATGTCATGGTCATTTGGAATAGTAGGGGTGGGTTGCACGGTGCAACCCACCCCTAAAATGGTGGTGCAACTTGCACCACCTATCTTTAACGGTAACTATGACGATAACCGGTGCTTTTTGTATGGAATTTGACAGATTTTTGGAATTTGACAAATACACAAGATGGGAAGAGACAGAATAGATTGTCAGCTCGACAGTCGAATCGACCTTTTGTATCGCTGCTAGTTGGCCGTACTTTACAAGTGCTAGGAGTCTCGAATTTTGTATGGGCGTTCCTTTTAGAACGTAGGTGCTCACTAAGACGGGATTTTGCAAAATTCAACCCCTAAACGGGATCCACGCGTACGAAGTTGCGGGCGGCCGCTAGCTCATTTATACAGGATGGAAACAATATGTCGTGATCTCACTCTTATGATTATTTCTCTATACAAGATATCGAAAAAACTGATTACTGATCCTGAAAATGCTTCACGAGCTTTATCAAACTGTATCAATAAATAAGTTCCAGGATAAATTAGTTTTATCCGAAAATTGAATCTTTCCAGCTTCCATACATTTAGTACAGCCACTTCGGAATTATTCCCACCTCTAGTTCCCACCGCTGCAACTCCTGTGTAGCCAGGATCTACAGCTTGACCGCCTACAACCCAACCAGTGAAGGTCAAGTTTGTCTCGGGGGAAAGTTAAACTGTCACACAACACGCTGTTTCAACTTTCACTAAACAGTACATAAAGAAATGGATGATGATGTATGTTTGTTACTCTTTCACGCAAAAACTTCTCAGGGATTTTGATGAAACTTTACAGCAATGTTGTTTATTCATCAGAATAACATATTGGCTGAAATTTATAATGATCTGAATTTCACGCGGGCGCAGATGTGGGCAAAAGCTAGTATATATTATATGAATAGTCCATGCCTTTAAAGCCGCCATTTTACCTCTCTCGCCGACCACAGTCTTGTCCCCGTGCGGTAATATCTCCAAGTCACTCTTCAGTTGGCAGCACTTGATCACTTGTTTGTATCTCTGCATGTTCATATCTTGCCCGAACAGGATGTTTTGACGCACCTAAAGTCATAAACAACACATTATAGCCAGCGCTTAACTCAGTCAGTGCCTGTATGGAAGCGGCACGGGAGGGGTGACGTTGAGATATTATGACGTGACAAAGCATACAAATCATAGAGATATAGAGAGATGCCAACTAATGCGCTGAGTTTGAAACTCAGTGTCGCATTAGAAATTCACACACACAAAGTAATCAAAAAGTGCTCATTATCCACTGCGGTATCAGTACTCAACGATCGAATAGTTTTTAGTACTACGCAAGCAATGTAAACTGTTTACATTATGACGTTGCTGCTGTCATCATTGCTGTCGCGAGCAATGTGTTCTGTTTTTGGGCATATTGCTGCGACACCGGCCACGCCCCCTTGTCACATCTCCCTTTAGTTTCTTCTTCTTCTTTTTTGATGATGTTGGCAATACACGTCACGGTCGACTTGATTTGTGCCATTTTCAAGTATTTAAGTGATACGAGTTACAAAATGAGATCAAGTATTGATATAATGAAGGATGATAGATGATACCCCTTCCCACCCTTTGAGTCTCAGTAAAGTTGTGGTGCTTTACTGAGACCTCCTATGGACAACTTGAGAGAACCAGAAGAATCACGATGCCCTGTTTTGCTTCACTTGCCCACACCCATGCACGTTCACGAACACTCAATGGTTAATAATCCACCATTATTACATATTAATAGTCGCCCACAGACGAATTTGAGAAAATAAAACAAAACCGCTAACATGACGCTTCAGATTCCCGCCAAGAAGTCCCCCTTAAGTTTCTGTGATCTGTGATACAAATCGTCTGAAAACCACTGTATGGGAGCGGCATGGGAGGCCGCCCCCCATACCTCAGGCGCTGACTGACTTAAGCGCTAGAGCACAGAATAATAATAATTACTTCGTAGAGATTTTTTTCGCGAATGTATTTAAAAAAATGTATGCTCAATGTCGGGACTATTCCCACATCTCGTTCCCACCGCTGCAACTCCTGTGTAGCCAGGATCTACAGCTTGACCGCTACAAAAACCCAACCAATGAAGGTCAAGTTTGTCCCGGGGGAAAGTTAAACTTTCATTGGACCCGCAACGAAATTAATCAGAAGAACATAGGAGGAGTGCTCAATGTCGTTAACAATATGGTGTACTTTAGCTTGTCTGAAGAGTCGAGCACCATTTTGTTAACAAACGTCTGTGATCGGTACTGCGCCGAAGCCATAGGGCTGACTTCGGTAAAATGATGTGTGACGTGAGGTCCCATAACACACTGTGCACCGTTTTTACATATATGGTTTATTGTCTTTACAATGCAAATGGGTGAAGAATACACGTGCGTGCGTCAATTCTCGCTCGTGATTGTCCTGTCGATTAGGTATCTCAGGAGGTGAAGTCACGCGTGTTTTGTTTTCGATGCAACCTCGCGGAGATGAACAGGCCTGGCTAGAGATATAATCCAACTCACCGAAGCTTCAAACAGCCACGGGTCTTGCGCAGCGTACGCTATGATCCCGTTTACAGTCAGCTGCCCACTAGTGGGCGTCAGTTCCCGCAGCATTGCTTGCAATAGCGTGGACTTGCCAGAACCTACTGTGCCCACCACTACTGTTAGGGTTTCTGGTTTTATCTGTAAAAAGAAAGATGTGCGATGTAATCTAAATCCCAATCCCAACTAATATTATAAATGCGAAAGTAACTCTGTCTGTCTGTCTGTCTGTTACGCTTTCCCGCTTAAACCTCGCAACCGATTTTGATGAAATTTGGCATAGAGATAGTTTGAGTCCCGGGAAAGAACATAGGATAGTTTTTATCCCGGTTTTTGAAACAGGGACGCGCGCGATAAAGTTTTTCTGTGACAGACAAAATTCCACGCGGGCGAAGCCGCGGGCGGAAAGCTTAGTATACAATAACTCAAAGGTGACTGACTGACTGACAAAGTGATCTATCAACGCACAGCTCTACTGGACGGATCGGGCTGAAATTTGGCATGCAGGTAGATGTTATGACGTAGGCATCCGCTAAGAAAGGATTTTACGATACTCCACCCCTAAGGGGGTAAAACGGGATCCACGCGTACGAAGTCGCGGGCGGCCGCTAGTTCAATATAAAACAGTTCTTCATTTTCTCAACAACTTGAAAAATCGAACTCCCTAAGGCGGGAATCAAACCCACGAGCTTTCGCTTGCCAGGCGACTGCTCTTCCATCTGAGCTACTTATGCCCGTTTTCACCATCAATCCCTAATTTTTAAGTAACCCCTATTAAACACAAAATTCCTATTATTTGTTACCATAGGGGTCACTTAAAAATTAGGGATTGATGGTGAAAACGGGCGTGAGACACTGAATGAACCAGTCGAAATTTTTAAGTGTAATACGCTGTTCTTTATTTCTAGATTGATCCGTTAAACAGTGGTTTTAAATGACGTCTAATATGTATAGTTTTGTCATTTTAAAATAGTGTTTCGATAATGCTTGTAACTTGTATTATGTCTAGTGCTTTACTCAGTCAGTGCCTGAGGTATGGGAGGGGTATGGGGAGGGTGATTTTGTAACGACAAACGTCAGCAAGACTGTAGATTGTCACGTCATCATGTGTCAATGTTACCCCTCCCGTGCTGCTACCATACCTCAGGCACTGGCTGAGTTATGCGCTAGACCAATAGTAAGGGAGTTATAATGAGAATCTAAATCCAGAAACAGAGGATAAAAATATAAATACCGTTAAGTTTATATCAGATAGAGCAGCCACTTTCCCATCCAACGATTCGTCGTCGACATTCTTCCAGTGCGCTGTGTAGTTGCTCATCGTTATCAGATCTTGGGGCTTCAGTTGCTGAAGGTTATTTTCCGACTTAATGTATGCCTGTTGGCTGTAAATATGTGCCCAAGTAAGTTAGGGGTACAAACAGTGTTGCTTTTGAGAATAGACAATAAAATGTAAAGTTTTGTTACTTGGATGATATCACCATATTTAGCGATGCTATAGAAAACCATCTAGTGTTGTTAATGTTTAAAAAAGTTTCATGAAACAATAGAATTGTAATATTGATTGCAACAAGATGTGAATAGCCCAACAGTCTGTGTCCCACTGCTAATTCGAGATCCAACGAACGCTGATTCGATCACCACCGACCACTGAACTATTATGGTGAACCCACTAATGGTCTAGCGCTTAAATTGGTCAGTGCAGTAACATGCTTCATATATGAGTGGCACGGGAGAGGTGACATTGACATAATTATTATGACGTGACAGACCATAAAATCTGAACGAGATCTAAAGTCTCACTGACAACGTTACAAAGTCCCGAGTCACTGACTGAGTTAAGTACTAGACCTATAACACAATAAGCATAACATTTAGCTTAAATATTACATTCTTTAAAAATAAAAAAATTAAATCTCACCCATTCCCAATCAACTTCTCGAATACTCCATTAGTGGTTGGAACTTTGACGTCATCAATCGTCACCAGATCCACGCCATCTTGGTTATTGACCTCAGGGAGCAACAAAAACTCTTGCATTCTCTTAACACTGACGTACGCTTCCAAAGTGAACGTTATTGCAAGCGGCAGAAAGTCTACCAAGTTGAACCTCAGCATTTCGTAGTAGCAGAATATGACATACACTTTGGCAGCTGTCAGTTCGTTCTTGAATGAGATGAAGGATATGACGCTGAGGAAAATGGCCACTTTTGTGTTTAATTTGACGCACGATATCATGACCGCCCGCAGCCATGACATCTTTTTGATTATGTTCATTTCTTTCCTGAAAGTAAAAAATATAATTATACTTTTTAAGTCCGGATAGGTTTTATCAGTATGGTTCTTGCAACTCTAAAGCTTTATGATTTAACCACACCAACGCGTACGGGTCGCCATCGCTGGCGCGATCAAAGGCCAATGACAGGTCGCGTGAACTGTCATAGGTCGCGCGACCTATCATTGGCCTTTGCGCGCCGGCGATGGCGATCTGCGCGCGTTGGTGTGGTTGAAGCTTTAGTTGTGTGTACACTGTACGTGTACCTACATACACAAAACGGTAGTGTAATGTCTATCAAAACTTTTGAAAAACGCACAGTAACGAGTCACCACACATGTAAAGCTCACGCGCCTTCGTGATTGCAACAACTATATTTAATCTTTATTTCCTTTCCAACCGGTCTGGCCAGCGTAGGGAGTATAGGTCAAATCCTCCATTTGTATCTAGTTCATAAGAGGTATTTAACTCCTATCAATATTATTAGCATCAAATATCATCATCAGGTGATTTAGTCTCCACTGCAGGGGCACGACCCTCTAATTGACCAGAGGCAAGAGGATTTGTCCTACACTCCCCACGCTGGCCAGACGGGTTGGGGAGACCTGATCGCATATTTAGTTAGAGAAGCTTACTAGTTCCTACAGATATTCTTCTTACTTCATCATCATCATCATTTCAGCCAAAGGACGTCCATTGCTGAACATAGGCCTCCCCCAATGCTTTCCATGTTGCCAGGTTGGTAGCGGCCTATATCCAGCGCTTTCCTGCAACCTTTATGAGGTCGTCTGTCCACCTTATCTTACTTGCCTAGCTCGCTCTTGTTTAATGTAAGTATTTGCTGTATCTAATTGAAAAAGTGACTGACAAAGATGACTGAGTTTCTTCCGCCAATTCTCAGCACCAGCCCATATGTTGTCCCGAAGTGGTGGTAGGGCAAGCTATATTTGGGACGTGTATAAGCGCCCTGGAAAGGGCTAGGTACTGAATAAAACCTTTGACTTCAACTTACTTTCTAGCAAATCCAATGATCCTAGCAAAAGCGTTCTCCCACGCGTACATTTTGATGGCTTCGATGCTCTGAATCACTTCGCCCATCATCCGGATTCGGTTGTCGGTCCGGACGGCCGTTTTTCTGCGGAGCCTGCTTGAGATCTTGCCTAGATAGCCTGTTGGAAACAATTTGTATTTAGGCTTTAGCGAAGTAGAATAGGTCTAACCATAGTTCACAAAAACATGTAAACAGTTTATATTGCTTACGTAGTACTAAATGTTGAGTACTGATACCGCAGTGGATTATGAGTACATATTTTGATTACTTTGTGTGTGTGTCAATTTCTAATGTAATCTGAATCTTGACTGTCATAAAATCACCCTCCCGTGCCGACCCTTCACCTCAGGCTGACTCAGTTAAAAGCTAGACCTATTGAGACGTCTATAAGTGGTTGGGAAGTCAAGCCACATTTCAGATCTACAAAGAAACTCCAGTTTTTATGAAATTTGGGCAAGTAACGTTCGTTTTAAACATTTAAACTTTTACCTATGTCGTTTATACTTTTACATGTACCTACATTATGTCTAATGGTTCGAAGGCAATAAATACATTTTTTTGTTTTATTTATTATTTTATTTTTAGTGTCTGGGTCTCCTTTTGCACGATTTTAGATCACGTTTAGTTAAGTTCAATATTTTTTTCCATTTCCAGTGTCTGTCAAAGTTATTTTTTTTTAATTGTATAGCCAAATAAAAAATAAATAGTGCTCACAAATCGTCAAATACTTAAATAAATAAAAAATAAGACAAATAAAAAAATAATTATGTTTTGCTCTTATGGAGTCTTTACATGTCTTATAATCTTTTTGCCCTACTAGTGACCCTAGTTTGATAGCGTTAATCAAAGTCCAGGTAAATAATATTTGTTTAGACTATTAAATACCTACATAGCATTCTGGGACTGGGTAGTCAATGCGAAAAAACGCTCAACGGTTGGAATGTGCAGGTGTCAAAATGTCCATACAGACCGGCTGTTAGTGTGGCAAAAAGTATGAACGTCGAAATGAGCAATGGTTAAAATGATCTGAAGTTAAAATGTCTTCGGGTTTATTTGAACAAGCGTCTTATTGTATAATAGCTAACGTGAACACGTGTTTAAATGCATCAAGGTAAAAATGTCCAAAAAAACTTTATTGACTAGACTACAAGAACATTGAACATTTTGACATTTAATTTTATTAATTTATTCATGAGCACAATATATCAGTTGATCATTTTATCTATCACACCTTTTGTTGTACTTGTATTTTGTGATGTGTACCATTTGTCACTAAACCATTGTAACCATGGTAACAATGTACATTTTGGCACTGGGACTTTTTGACGTTCATACTTTCTGCCACACTAACAACCGGTCCGTATGGACATTTTGACACCTGCACATTCCAACCGTTGAGCGTTTTTTCGCATTGACTACCCAGTCCCTGAATGCTACATAGTACAAAACATATTTTTTACAAAACAAAAATACTTAGGCTAAGAACTCACGGCGCGATTTTCACCCGCGCCCGCGGCGGTTGTGGAATCTGGGGGCACGGCAGTGCGCCCACCAAGTCGAGCAAAAACGCGGCACGGCCGTTACCATTCTTTTCTCGAAGCAATTCAGGCCATTTTCGACCGCCTGTAACTTCGTTGTGGATAAAACTAGAAGGCTGAATTTTCATTAGCTATGCAGGCATTGTAAAGACACGGTATATTTCAAATTTCATTCAATTTGAACCAGTAGTTTAAGAATTATAACGGGTCAAAGTTTCTTAATTTTGTCACTCACTGACTGACTGACTCACCGATCATCAAAATTCTAAGGCACTTCTAGCAGACCTAGAAGCTTCAAATTTGGAATATAAGTAGTGTTTGGTATGAATGAATCAATCAAGGAAAAACTAAAATATTTGGGGGCACGGTAGTGCAACCGCCAAGTCGAGTAAAATTTTTCAATTTCGGTCCAGTTTTCTAGATACATAGCTGCTGTCTACAAAATACAAAAAGAAATGAGATCCCATCAAAAACAATACTTGTCAAAAAAAAACAAGTCTCGCAACTCAGTTGTTCTACGGTAAAAAGTTGTGAGATCCATGTAATACCAAGTCCAGGCCAGGAAATCTTTAACGTTTTACATTAATTATTGACTTGGCCATCGCACTAAATAATTTAATTTACACGTGTTTTCATGCGATGGCCAAGTCAATATATTTATGTACGATTTAAAATCGCGCCGCGTGATAAGTCACTTTTACAAAATGGTCGCCCGCCGATCGGGCGGTTATCGCGCGGTTTTTGCGCGGGCGAAAACCGCGTCGTGAGTTGTGCATTAGTTTGTACATAAGTATCTGCATTCTACAGAAGCTGCGGGCCCGCAACCGCCGCGGGCGCGGGTGAAAATCGCGCCATGAGTTCTTAGCCTTACTTATCTCTGTTCTCACGTTTTCCATGTTATACCTCTAAACGTCGGTGGTTAGCAGAATAACCACCAAAATGGTGGTGGTGTGGAATCACCCCTAAAGCGGATTTTAATCTATTACACCTTGTATATTACTCCAGAACTCACCTTGGAAAGGGATGAACATCAGCAAAAACGCCACTCCTATAAAAGCAGCGACTCCAATTTGCCTGTACATCAAGTATATGATGATCACGCTCTCCAGAGGCGACCTGATAAGATAAGAAAAGAAAAACTTTACTCAGCATATAAAAAAACAAAAGACAAGTTGCAGTACATCATAACATTTCTTAAAAAATAGTGAACAACCAATGTGTGTTACCAGTGATGACTTATGGTTCGGCAACGTGGCCTACAGAACCTCAAAGTTGCACAGCGTGCTATGGAGAAGGCTATGCTCGGTGTTTCTTTACGAGATCGAATCAGAAATGAGGAGATCCGTAAACGAACTAAAGTCGCTGACATAGCCCGACGGATTAGCAAGCTGAAGTGGCAATGGGCAGGGCACATAGTACGCAGAACTGACGGCCGACGGCCTATGCGCGTACCGTGTGCAGCGTGGGACGCCCACCCACAAGGTGGACCGACGACCTCATAAAAATAGCAGGGAAGCGCTGGACGCAGGCCGCTACCAATCGATCAACATGGAAAGCATTGGGGGAGGCCTATGTTCAGCAGTGGACGTCCTATGGCTGAAATGATGATGATGCTGAAGAGTTGACCTTACCTGACGAGGTCCATCATGAATAGGGCGGCCATATCGAACCTCTGAGCGTCGGTGGTTAGTAAATTAACCACGTGGCCCGCTAAGCCTTCGGACGCTTTACCACCGGCGGTTAAATCGAGGCGAAGTAACTGGAAATGGAGAAAACTATTTGGTAACATCAAGAGCTCAGCTAGGTTAGTTTAGCTTAGCTCGCATACCTGGTGCAGTTTTTTTTTATGACTAAAGGCCGATTCACACATATCAGTGAAGTCACAGTTCAGGCTCAGTACCGGCACAGTGCCAAATATTCTTTCATACAGTTTCTACGAACGCATCCCCACTTGTCAGTGTCAGTGACGACACAGTGCTCTCAGTGTCAGTGCCGACTGCCGACACCGGCAATCACGGACGTATTCGTTGACGAAGATATTTTTTGTCGGATCACGGACGCCGCCGCGGCCTCAAAAACAATATAACTTACTTCATAGTTTCTGAACAAGAATATTGAAAAAGCTCTCTGACATTTTAAAATATTCAAAATATTTCACTGACGCAACACTGTAGCACTGATACTGAACTGAGCGGAGTGAGCGGACACTGTGACGGAACTGTGGCTTCACTGATGTGTGTGAATCGAGCTTAACAAGGCAGCTATTTGACCACCATCGCACCTTATGTTAAGTGAGATGCAGTCTAGGATGGTACATATCTGCCCTGTAAGTGCCTATTCACTCTCGCCTTGAAAATGCCCGGATTAAAGTCTTCGGGAAAGACAGCAGCAGGCAACGAATTCCAGTCCCTAGCTGTTCGCATTATAAAAGAGTCATCGAAACGCTTAGTGCGAGCTGATGGAATGTCAACAATATAGGGATGGTACGCACCTGCGTCTGGTTCCCTGATGATGGAAGTTTTCCATAGTTGTGTGCAAGCTGAAAACTATACAAACACTATGGAAAACTGCGTCAGCTAGCGAGCTAAGCTAAACTAACATAGCATAGCTCTGGTTTGCAAAAAATATTACTAGTTAAAAATTAAACAAACTTATATTGAGACTATATATTAGTGATTGGATTAATTTAGATTTCTTTCTGATATCGACTAAATGAACAGGCATAGTGGTTAGTATGAAAACCACCAGGTTTGTATACTGAATTAACGATGCTACCTTACTTACCTTTCTATAAATCAATGAGCAGCACCCGACTCGTATTTTTATCGCCATTTCTAAGAGCCACAATAGCCATGGATGTAAAAGAGTGGCGTTTATGGCCATAAGGCTGGAACAAAAAATATTAAATTGGCTATAGGCCCGGTCTGTGAGCACGTAGAATTTTGTGCAATGACCCCAAGCTACCTATCCTTATCGCTCGCGCGTAATTATATTGCTGTCGCGACTGTGCGACGGGCGCCCGCAGTGAGTGTGCGAGCGCGAAAGCAACATAATTACGCGCGAGCGATAAGGATGGGTAGCTTGGGGTCATTGGACAAAATTCTACGTGCTCACAGACCAGACTATAGCGCTTAACTGAGTCAGTGCCTGAGGTATCGGAACGGCATGGGCGGGTGTTTTTGTGACGTCAAACGTCAGCGACACTTCAGATCTCGTTCAAAATTGTATGCCTATTGTAACGTCATAATATTATGTCAATGTTCGGATCGATGAGTGATCGAATCAGAAATGAGGAGATCCGCAGGAGAACCAAAGTGACTGACATAGCCCGCAGAATCGCTAAAATCAAGCAGTGGGCGGGGCACATAGCTCGCAGAGATAGCCGTTGGGACAGAAAAGTTCTTGAATGGCGACTACGATCCTAAAGACGTAGTGTGGAGAGGTCTGCCACTAGGTGGACCGACGATCTGGTGAAGGTCGCGAGAGAAGCCTGGATGCGGTTGACGCAAGACCGGTCTTTATGGAAATCCTTGGAGTAGGCCTATATCCCGCAGTGGACGTCATTCGGCTGAAACGAACGAATATATTATCAACTAGCTTTCCGCCCGCGGCTTCGCCCGCGTGGAATTTTGTCTGTCACAGAAAAACTTTATCGCGCGCGTCCCTGTTTCAAAAACCGGGATAAAAACTATCCTATGTTCTTTCCCGGGACTCAAACTATCTCTATGCCAAATTTCATCAAAATCGGTTGCGAGGTTTAAGCGGAAAAGCGTAACAGACAGACAGACAGACAGACAGAGTTACTTTCGCATTTATAATGTCACTCATTTCGTGTCGCTCCCAAACCTCAGGCACTGACTGAGTGAAGCGATAAAACTATAAAAAGGAATATTAAAGTGAATATTAGTTTTTCTTACCCGACTACCCCCAAAGCGTATAAATACGCGTGTGTTTTGCTCACAGCAGGCGCGGACGGTGAGAAGTAGTTTATCAAGCCTTCAAGGCACATTGGTATGATTAACCTGAAAAATAATAACAATAATTAACAAATTAATTTATTTATTTATTTACACACACACATTTACTATTGTTACAGGCTAACCCAATATAATTAAGCTGAAGTGGCAATGGGCAGGGCACAGTACGCAGAACTGACGGCCGATGGGGCAGTAAGGTTCTGGAGTGGAGGCCACGTACCGGAAAGCGCTGCTTAGGACGTCCACCTATAAGGTGGACTGACGACCTCGTAAAGATAGCAGGAAGGCGCTGGATGCAGGCCGCTACCAACCGGTCATTATGGAAATCATTGGGGGAGGCTTATGTTCAGCAGTGGACGTCCTGTGGCTAAAACAGGTACAGTAGAATCCCGATTATCCGGATCAATTAAAACCAGGGGTGTTCCGGATAATCGAAAATCCGGATAATCTATTTCAAAGTAAAATCAAACAATAATTAACTTTTTACAATAAAAAGGGTTTTCAATACATCATTTTAGAGTCTAAAAATGTAAATATTAGACCATTGGTCATCCATTTCTTTAAACAATAAACTAAGAAGACTTCCGTACCATGTTACGGTGGTGGCGCCTTAGGTTTTTATGGGTCCAGACCCTGAATGGGTAATTAGAAACCGTGAAGAATGAGTCCGGATAATGGGATATCCGGATAATCGAAGTCCGGATAATCGAGATTCTACTGTATAGAGCTAAACTGGAGGTTCTTTCCCACGGGAACATCCCGTTTTCAGCAGGTACCGTTTTTGTTCCCAATGTATATTTTCAAACCGAAACTGTCCGCATAGGTGATGTGGAAAACAAAATTTGATTACTCAAACACATCTTTCCACTTTGGTGGAAAACCTTAGTCTCCACTGCAGGAGCACGTCTCTAATTGACCAGAGGCAAGAGGATTTGTCCTACACTCCCCACGCTGGCCAGACGGGTTGGGGAGGCCTGATGCTCGCATATTTGTCCCTTTAGTCGCCTCTTACGACATCCACGGGAAGAGTGGGTAGTCCCATTCTACTCAACCGGGACCACGCGGTTACAAAAATGCACTTTATTATGTACTTACTTAAAACTAGTTTCGAATACCGCCAAAATAAGGTTCCCTATAATAAATCGGAGCCCATGGATCCGCAGTATGGTCCGGATTAACGAGGGTTTCTTGCCTTTGCCTGTAAACCATAGTAAAATATGATTAAGAATCTATATCTATATAAGCAAAAGTTCACTGACTGACTCACTTACTCATCACGAAATCTCAGAAACTAAAAGTGCTAGGAGTCTCAAATTTTGCATGGGGGTTCCTTTTAGAACGTACATGGGTGCTCACTAAGACCTAAGGGGGTAAAACGGGATCCACGCGTAGGAAGTCGCGGGCGGCCGCTAGTAGGTCATATAGGGCACATAGCTCGTAGAGATGATGGCCGTTGGGACAGAAAAGTTCTCGAGTGGCGTCCACGGGCCAGAAGACATAGCGTGGGCAGGCCCCCCATTAGGTGGACCGACGATCTGGTGAAGGTCGCGGGAAGAACCTAAAGCCTGGTCTGTGAGCAGGGCCCGCGACTGTGCGATGGGTGCCCGCAGTGAGTGTGCGAGCGCGACAGCAATATAATTACGCGCGAGCGATAAGGATGGGTAGCTTGGGGTCATTGGACAAAATTCTACGTGCTCACAGACCAGACTGCGGGCAGCGCAGGACCGGACGTTATGGAAATCCTTGGGGGAGGCCTTTGTCCAGCACTGGACGTCATTTGACTGAAACGAACGAACAAAGAACAGATCACCGCTTGTGCCCGCTAAAGAAAAAAAATATTGATGGTGGGCCCAGTTGCCGGAAGAAAAAATATTAAAAAAAATCAATCCGGCGACTGTTATGGTAAAAGCGTTGTAGTTGTCGGTCCACGGAAGGCTTGACTTATAATGGGATAATTAATTACCTTGCTTTTGTAATTCCTCCTTCCATTTCTGCCCCATGACGTCCCCGCGAGGGGCTGCCCTGTGTTCTGGGGAACATCTGAAAAGATAATAATATCAATTTTTTAATATTACAATAGTAGGATAGAATATGAGGCAGTGAGAGACTAGCCCATTGGTTCCCAAAGTGGGAGGCGCGGGCCATCTGTGTAGGTACTTAAATACATATAAAAAAACCTGCAACCGCTGAGAGAATGCATTCCAGACTGCTCGATACGACCAATAAATAATCTTGACTGGAGGAGGCGCGCGGAATTTTTTGTATGGTCGAAAGGGAGCGCGTCTCAAATAAGTTAGGGAACCCTTACTAGCCTGAGACGGAGCTGTGGACGAATGTCCGACATTAACTCGCGGCTCCGTTTCTTTGGGCTCCGGTGGACACCGTCGAGTTTTAATGGGTAGGCCCCGCCTTTAAAGAGCAGGCGGAGAGAGTCCCACATAACCCACTGATCGTCCCCATTGACCAGTGGGTATACGCAAAGCATTTCCCGACGTAAAAAAAATATAGAAAGTAAGATTATGATTCCCAAGGGCACAGTAAAAATATGTTTGAGAAGCAATCAATTTTTGTGTGTACGGGCTTATTCCACCACACTTTCCCACCGCTGCAACTCCTGTGTAGCCAGGATCTACAGCCTGGCCTCCAATGAAACCCAACCAGTAAAAGTTGAGTAGTCCCGGGGGATAGCTAACTATCTTCGAACCTGCGACGAATTTAATCAGAAGAATATTGGGGGTCCAATACAGTTTAACTTTCCCCCGGGATAAACTTGGCCTTCACTGTTTGGGTTTTTATTGGTGGTCAAGCTGTAGATTTTGGCTACACAGGAGTTGCAGCGGTGGGCACGAGAGGTTCCGTAATAATAGGAAGAGTTCAAAATATAATATCAATTTTGAATGTAGCAAACTTTACTAGCTTTCTGACCATTCTTGGCAGCTGCAAAATCAGTAATTGATACATAATTACATGTAATTACTTTCCCACAGTAAATCATAACATATCGCTAATGTAATGTATCACAAATTAACACGATATAAATACATTAACACGTGTTCGAAGAGTTGTCGTTATCACTTGTCCTTTGACCTCGTTGTGATCAGTCATTATTACACAAGTGAGTGACAAATCATGCTTCTAAAGGATTCGCTACACTGGATGCTTTATGCGGTCTGCAAAGTGAACGCAGCCCGCATATTATATAAACAACAACATTGTCGGTCAGGGCAACGGTGTGAACGCAGCCCGCATTATGTATGAACTATATTAACGGTCAGGTCACGGGACTATTCCCACCTCTCCTTCCCACCGCTGCAACTCCTGTGTAGCCAGGATCTACAGCTTGACCGCCAACAAAAATCCAACCCAACCAGTGAAGGCCAAGTTTGTCCCGGGGAAAGTTAAACTGTCATTGGGCCCGCAACGAAATTAATCAGAAGATAGGAGTTCGAAGTTAAGGTAAAGAAGGGCAAGACAATCTGTCAGCGGTCGTGACAAGTCAATCTGTCACGGTCAGATCGCTTCAATACTAAATGTATAGAATCCAACAATGTAGTTCATACATAATGCGGACTGCGTTCACTTTGACCTGACCGCAGAACGCACTCAGTGTAGCAAACCCTTAAGATTCCCACGGTCATGTATTTGAGCAATGCTGTTTGCTGTTTAATATTAATCCTACTAATATTATAAAGGTGAAAGTATGTGTGGATGTTTGTTACTCTTTCACGCAAAAACTACTGAACGGATTTGGTTGAAACTTTAAAGTATTAATCTTTATAACCCAGAATAACATATAGGCTATAATTTATGACGATATGTGACAAACTAAATTTCACGCGGGTGAAGCCGCAGGCAAAAGCTAGTCGATACTAAATGTACCGACAATGTAGTTCATACTTCATACATAATGCGGACTGCGTTCACTTTGACCTGACCGCAGAACGCATGCAGTGTCAATCCTTAAGATTCCCACGGTCACGTATTTGAGCAATGCTGCTTGCTACATAATCTATACTAATATTATAAATGCGAAAGTAACTCTGTCTGTCTGTCCTGCTTCTACGCCTAAACCACTGAACCGATTTTGATGAAATTTGGCATAGAGATAGTTTGGGACGCCGCGATAAAGTTTTTCTGTGACAGACAAAATTCCACGCGGGCGAAGCCGCGGGCGGAAAGCTAGTATGGAATATGTACGATTTTTTTCTATTACAGTCGTCATCGAGAACTTTTATTTTCCAAAAACTCTAAAAAACTATTAGTAATTTCTTTGTCTCATGTCATGTGACGTCACGCTCAGCTAATACCAGACATTTAAAATACATGACGTCAGCAAATGTCATTCATGCATATCGTCTGACACCACGTCCGTCACGCATGCATGGATAATATTTACTACAGAACTTTCGGTTTAAAAACCAGATATTTGTAGTTTTGCTTGCCTAATATGCTAAATAAATATTTTTTCGTTCTTTCTTTTATTTACCTGTATACGTCTGATATGCTCAGTTGTCCTTTTCTGCCTTTCACGAATATTGGGCGGGTGTACCTAAAACATAATACACAAATTAACAGGTTTCCTTGTTGACTTACAGCTTAATTAAAAGCGACTATAGCCCAATGCTGGAAAGGACTGGCCAAATCGAGATCGGAGGAACGCGCTTTCGAACCCTGGACTACTGTGGTGAACCCACTCGTAACACAATCATGTTTAGGTCCGGTTTATAGTGTTTGAGAAGGACGACAACATTCACGGGAAGAGAGGGGTCGTGTTATTATTACTCTGTCGAAATCACATGGGAGTCTTCTGTCAATTCGGCGACAGAGAACTGAGAACCACTTTAAACCACCGTTAAAAGTAGGCCCTTTTTAACCACAGTTACCCCACAGCCAGTCGTAGGGTTAATTTTCAAATGTTTTTTTTCGGCAACTGGGCACACCGTCAATGTGCATTAAGGATTAGTTCATCATCATCATCATTTTAGCCATAGGACGTCCACTGCTGAACATAGGCCTCCCGCAATGATTTCCATATCGCCCGGCTGGTAGCGGCCTGCATCTAGCGCCTTCTTGATACCTTTATGAGGTCGTCGGTCCACCATGTGGGTTTTAAAATGGGTGGAAAGGAGTAGGTTTATCGATAAATATTATTCACTCACCAAAATGAGAATTGTGAGAAGATGTTAGCCTTCTCTCTTGGGTTCTGCTCCCTCTCTATATCGAAGTACTTGGGGTCCATCTTTACGCTTAAAAATAATTATTTGGCACTGCGGCTTTATCACAAGTTATTGATCAGGTTCCCTTGGGTGCATGGTTTATCTGGAACAAGGAAAAATGTTATTTAAAAACATTAGCAATAAAAAAAATTACTATTTTAGCTAAATATTCCTTCTTATAAGAAACTAGCTTTTGCCCACGGTTTTACCCGCGTGAAATTTAGTTTGTCACAGATCGTCATAAATTATAGCCTATATGTTATTCTGGGTTATAAACAATAATACTGTAAAGTTTCATCAAAATCCGTTTAGTAGTTTTTGCGTGAAAGAGTAACAAACATTCAGACATCCAGACAGAATGTCTTTTTCTAAAAAAAAAAACACCCTAGCAAAACGTCAATTTCTACTAGCAAGTGACTCTAGTCACAATTCTAGTGGCGAAATCTGGTTAGTGCAAATACGATGGCCCTCATACTACTTCAGCTCTCACCACTTCACTAGTTGGCGCTACTATTTTAGCAATTTTGCAGGCTAATAGCCAATAAGTTCCAAGAAAGACACGGAATTCTAAGAGCTAGAATCCGTCTCGCACTTACTAGTTTTAATCTTTAGAATCGGACAAGTTTCGCAAAAAACAGCTAGGGATTCACCGAATACGGTAGCAACAGGAAAAAACGGTTTAAAAATTACCTTCACAGTTTGTCCTCACTTTACTACACAATGCTTAAGTAGTGTACACAAAAAATATTGTAAAGTATCTAAACAATAGCCTTAATGGTACATCTCTACCACAAAAAATGCGTTCGTTTAATGCAGGCTTTCGTTGGCTGCTTTGAGCCAATGTACCTAACAACTTTTTGCTCATGATGCACGCACGAAAGAATTTACGATACTAGCTGTCCCCGCGACTTCAGACGCGTGAAAATAGTTTGAATAATTAATCCTGATTTCGCTACATTTTTTATTGATGATGCCTGCTTTCCTCGGAAAATGGGTTAGGGGCCGTCCATAAATTACGTCATCGATTTTTTCAGATTTTAGACCCCCCCCCCCCCCCCCCCCCTATCTATCATTTACCGTCATCCGCAGACCAACCCCCCCCCCCCTAATTTAGAATGACGTAATATATGGACGGCCCCTTATCTAATACAAAAATATTTTTTTATTGCGTTCAACGAAACAAACTCTTCAGGTTTTTAATAATTAGTAAAAAGTATAAATAACAAAAAAACTTATAATAAAATGCTTGTGTTTGTTCTGGATAATTTTCTTAACGGGCTGTACATATTTTGAGGGGCCTTATTTATATTATGTATACGCATCGTGGGTATCATTGACAAATCTATACAGGTTGTCCAAAGGGGGGGAATATGACGTAATAAAAAAATTCCTTTAATTCCTCGGAATCTGACTCATCTGACTTCATCGCAATCTGACGTAATCAAAGCAACATTTCTTTCATTCTTTATCTCTATATAATTCATCCTTTATATCCAAGCTCTTATCAACAAGACGTGATCTTGCACAAGCGACAAGCGAGTCATTGACCTTAATAAGCGGCCAGTTAAGCTTGACCCCTGACACTGATCAATTAGTTACGGTAAACAGCTCAGTTACACTGGACAGCCTTTTAATTATTTGATGATAGCTATAACTAGATTGAAAAATCTAAAACGATGTAAGTGGCGATCGCTAAGAAGGACTTGCCACAGTGGATGCGTTCTGCGAAATGCGTTCAAGTCAAAGTGAACGCAGCCCGCATCATGTATGAACAATATTGTCTGTCTCTGAATAAAATTTCGCAAAAACAATCTATTAAATAGATTTCTTTCCTCATTAATTTAATATTTGTTAGAATTGTTAGCAAGGTTTGTTGTGTATCAAATTACTTATTTACTGTTCTAATAATTACATTATTATGTTATTATGAGGATAAACAGTGTTGATAGCATTATTGTTTAAGGTTTAAAATGTATTATGTAATAGTTACTAATATGTTTCAATAATTGTTATCTCAAACGGTATTAAAATAAAATTTTATTAATTATTCAAAATAAAGCATTAAATTGCAAATTACGATTTCAATTAGTTCATTCCTAATCGGTTGGTTCCATGAATAGTCGAGGCGTCGAGGGTAAATGTTGACCGCAGGTTGTTCACAAACATCGCATGACCAGTCAGGTCAGAGGTCAGCACTGGCCACTGCAGATGTAGGGTGAAGTCGCCTGTTTGCGTCACCTCTATTAAAATCAAATGAAATAAAAAAAATATGTTTATTTTTTTGGACTAATTAAAAAAGTCATTGCAAATAATCAAGGAGCGTGTATAATTATTTTTTTGCCCAACCAGCGCTTAGACATAACAATTTGGCAAGTGCTGAGAAGAAGCGCCGCAACAACAAGCGTCATATTTTAAGTATTTTCCACTGTTTGTTGTTTTACCGGACTAAGCCAAAAAGAGGGTAAGGTTTTTTGAGTGTAACATGTATGTAGTTGTGAATTTTTTTAGCGTTAAGAGTCGTGTGTATGTAAACTAAGTAATTTTGTATGACTAGCACATTCTGTAGCCTAAACGGCTTCATTGAATAATTAGTGTTACACGGATAATATGTAAATTAGGACTGATAAAACTGTTTAATGCATATGTTCGATTGGTAATGGAAGTAAATGACTTTGAAATCATCACTGTCACACAGAAATACGCAAAAAATGTCTTCCAAATATACACAAAACAACAGTGACTCAGTTTACGCTGCTTCTTCTCAGCACTGGCCCATTTATTGTCCAGAAGCAGTGGTAGGGTTAATACTGGGACGTGTAAAAGTGCTTTTTAAAAGCCTAGTACTTACAAAAATAGACGATAGCACATCAAGCTAAACACAGTGGCGTCATATCGTTCTCACCGCAACAACTACTGTGTAGCCAAGATCTACAGCTTGACCGTCAATAAAAACCCAACCAGTAAAGGTCAAGTTTGTCCCAGGGAAAGTTAAACTGTCATTGGACCCGCAACGAAATAAATCAAAAGAACATAGAGTTGTAATTAAAGGTTCCAATTCGATTGCGGTGCCAAATCAATAGTTGATTTATGGTGTGACATTCATAGATCGTCTCTACAGGGTACCTGTTCAACCATGTCGCTCACATACCATCCTATCCATGGTTCACGTGCTTCGAACAATGATCCATGTCAAGGTTGCCGCGTCAAATACCATGTAGATGTCAATGGCTGGATGTAGAGATGGCATATAAAGCCACATACTTTAGGAACTTGTGTAGTTGTGATAGAAGTTATTTTTCAACAAAAATATAATGTATAGTCTGATGGTGACTGTACTGATGACAGTATATAAAGATACTGTGGCAACTTATGTTGTAGGTGCTTCCTTGCAATTAAGATATCATTGAATTGGTAATGTGTAGCTAATTAATTAGACATTTAAAAAAAACCAAACAATAAAAAAAGTAATTAGAATTACCAGCTGGCTGGCTGGCTTCTCAGCACTGACCCATTTATTGCCCTAAAACAGTGATAGGGTTAAAGTCAAGTAATGCTGGGATGTATAAAATGCTTTTTTGAAGCCTATTTGTAGAAAAAAAAATTAAAATAACCTGAAAAAAGACTGCAATTAGTTGTAGCCACCACTTCTTCTCAACACTGGCCCATCTTACGTCCCAAAGCAGTGGTAGGGTCAAAATTATACTTGGACGTGTAAAAGCCTACTTCCTCAAAACAACTTTAAGTGCCTTTTTCCAGTGAAGCCAGCGTAATAGGAAAGACATGTATGAAATAATGAAATGCGGGCCAAATCCGCACGAGGGCCGAAATCCACTTAAGAGGAAAAAGGCTCTAGGTAGGCAATAGATATTTTTTTACTTAGTCATCTAAGTAAAAAACTATCTACTTTCCAGTTAAAGTTTACGCAATTAATGGATGCGGCCTTCATAGAACTACAAGCAGATAGTATTTTATCATTAAATCGATAGGCACGAGACAAGATATCTCAAAACTAGCACAGATGCGTATCATTTCCGAGGATTTGATATTCGATGAATATCTATAAATAACTGAATGATGGATCATTGTAAAATTGGTGACTTTGCATCATATTAACCAAGGATTTCAAGATTGTTTATGTCAGCCATGTTTTAACGTCACATTTCTGTAACAAAACACTTAATTCCCACCCTGAAAACAGAGTTAGTTTAAAAACAAAAGTATATTTATTTGTTTCATCATCATCATCATTTCAGCCATAGGACGTCCACTGCAGAACCTCCCCCAATGACTTCTACATCGCACGGTTGGTAGCGGCCTGCATCCAGCGCCTTCCTGCTACCTTTATCAGGTCGTCGGTCCACCTTGTGGGTGGACGTCCCACGCTACGTTTTCCGGTACGCGGCCTCCATTCCAGAACCTTGCTGCCCCATCGGCCGTCAGTTCTGTGTACTATGTGCCCTGCCCACTCCCACTTCAGCTTGCTAATCCGTCGGGCTATGTCAGCGACTTTAGTTCGTTTACGGATCTCCTCATTTCTGATTCCCTCTCCATAGCACATCACTCTCCATAGCACTCATTTATTTGTTTAGACTAATTTAATCACTCTTACATATCGCCAAAATGATCTTATGCAGTTACCAGCGCTCCGAAACAAACATTGGCAAGTGCTGAGAAGAAGCGCCGCAACAAACTCAGTCACTAACTCACTACTTTTGTCTGCCAGTTAAAAATAGAGAATAGAGAAAAACTGTTTTTGGATTCATATCAATAAAAACATCGTTTTAACATAATGAGTTTTTAAATCTATGAGATACATACTTGACCCAAACTAATTGATCCGAAATTCCATTTTACAGTCTGTTATGACTAAAATATAATGATTTTACTGTTTATTCTACATTTAGAGATAATTTGCAATCACTGTAACTGGGTCATCTTAATCTATGACTGTGACTATGACGGGTCATTCACGGTAGATTTGAGGCCTAATTATAATACAACCATAACTATAACTAATCAATTGAAAGGTTGCGAAAAAAGCAGTGGCGGATTTAGGGTAAAAGTACCTGTTTCGGCCATCTTTACGCCGGTTTTTAAAACCGA